GAGAGAGAGAGAGAGAGAGAGAGAGAGGAGGGGAGAGAGGAGAGAGCAGGAGACTGAGGCTGAAACAGACACAGAGGCAGAGACAGTGTAAGAGACAGAGAAAGAAAGAGTATGTAAGTTTGTGAGAAAGAATTGAATGGACAAGCTCGGGTCTTGTCATTTCGCCATACTCTTCATCGTCTAAAAGGGCAAGATAACGCAAGAAACGTAAATGACAACTTAGAACAACTTAACGAACTACTCTTCGCTGACGACCAGAGCCTCACACAATGGCCAGGAACACATCATTCAATTGAATAAAGAAAAATAACCTTTTGAAATGGAAAAGCGCACAACTAAAACAGATGTAATGAAGACCCCCATAAATCATGTCTCTTAAAATCTCCAAGTCACCAAAATACAACTGAAACAAGTACAAAGATTCAAATGCCTTGGAAGAATGTTCGCATAAGACGAAAAAATGGGCAGGGAATTTGAAACCAGAAGGAAATGAGGTCACATGTGACATACCAACTTGCCACTTTCCGTTCCCATTAAAACTTCCCAAACAGGATAGAGAAACAGCTCGTCAGATCAATGTTAATACTAAATTGTTGCTACCAGGGCCAAACGTACACAGTGCAGACAGATAAAATAGAACAGCAAGCGAAATGAAAATATGTCTTTGAAAAACGTTAAACATTAAGACAAAAGGACAGAAAAAGTCCCCAAAGATATCAGCAACCAAAGAGACACGAAGTTTCATTCGGCTCAGATCGTATTCGGGTCATGACATTGTTGACATATACAAGTAGCAACCGATGAGTTGGCCAGAACTGGACAAATTCAAGGAATACAACACTCGGTGAAGGAATTCCGTCCGCGAAAACAAATAAAAGGCATCGATATTTTGGAACTTTTTGGATACTGCGCTTTCGAACGATGCATACTTTCATAAGTTTTGTCAGGGTTTTGATTCTCCTGAGTAGGTCAAATAGAATAGCATTCATTAACATAATCGCTGTTCTATTTTGGCTCGTTACCACGAACACGTGCAGCTGTATTTGTTGCCCTGTTTTTTTTGCATTTCATCTTACAATTACGGGGAATCGAAAAAAGAGTAACTTTATCGAGACAATATGTTTACTTCTAAAAAATTGATATCTGAGCCCAAAACTGGTGAAAAATCCGCGCCTGGCCCCATAATATATTATGATGCAGGTGCCGACCCAACCAGTCAAGGCCAACCTGGACTGAGAAGGATCAAATGTCCCGTAGCGTCGATAGCCCAGTGGTTAGACTACTGGACTCGTAGTCGTGAGATTGCGGGTTCGGGGTTCGAGCCTCAGCTCGGTCCGAAGTTGTGTCTTTGGGAAAGGCACTTTACATGAATTTCCCACTTGACTTTGTCCATTCGGAGGTCCCGCCTGTTGAATAACAGTATAGTGTTGACAGGGATGTTAAACCTATGACATTTCATTTTTTACAACGTCCCAGTAGAAAAACCGATGAACTCGATAGAAATTCTTTCTATGCAGTCCACGGTTATTCATGTGTAAGATTTATAGGTTTCACTGAAGATCATATAGTTATAGAAAACACTGTGTACAGCCAAAAAGAAGAGAAACATATTAAAAGTGTTCACTGCTCATGCATGTACAGCGTGTTTAAAGAAAAGTACAGAGGGGAAAATTTGGAAAAGGTTGAAAAATACGTGTTGAGTTTTGTTTGATTGAACCGCACTAATTTCTTTGTCTTTAGATTTATAACATTGTATTTATATTATGCGCTATGTCCATATAAGTATGGGCTCTGAGCACTTTATATCGATGCCATAATTACTGAAGATAATTTTCACACACACACGCAAAGCACACACATACACACACACACACACACACACACACACATACACACACACACACGCACATACACATCACACACACACACACATTTTCTCACACACAAATACACACACATACACACAATATGCATTCAAAAATACATATCATATGTACAAGCAATCCACTTAAGAAATAACTTTCTTGGCCAAATCATTCTTATACTAATTACATACTCATAAGGACAGCATAGAAAACAAAACACATTAGTAATCTGCTGACACACGTCGCGTTTTTATTCATACTAGTAATTAAAGTTCCCGTTCTACGAACGGAATAATAATGAAGAATTATTTGGAAAGTTAAGAAGATGAAAAAGACTGAAAACAGGAAAGAAACAAAACATTTAATATTTTACCTTGAATGTATCCATGTAGCACCCCCTCTTGACTACCTCTAGGTGTAAGACTTCTTCTCCCTCTTCGAAGACGTGGCATTTTCAACAAAAGTTCCAGCTCAATCACTTTTTTAAAAAAGAGTTAGGCCTACATGCCAATTATTGCTTCCTAGAAGAACCTAATCTAGATTCTAGATCTAGCCTAGATCTCGAAGGATTATAAAGACATAGGCCAATAAGTGAAGGAAAGAGTCTTGGCCCTTAGATAGATCTAAGTTTAGATATTCACATTTTTAACAACCGACAGGCGTCACAGATGGCCTAGATTTCTAAACCTATTCACAGTAGGAAAAACCCACTTTCAAGAATACTTTCATGGTTCTTGATCTCGGTCTAGATTCACCTACAGCCTAGTTCTATACTCTAGATTTATTCACAGCAGGAAAAAATCCACGTTCAATACTTTCATCATTCTTGATCTCGATCTAAGATTCACATAGATCTAGCCTAGATCTAGATCTTAGAATCTATAATGCTCAGCTAGAAAAATCCACTTTCAATATTCAATAGGTTATCGAAATATCACAGATCTAGATTACACTTTCATTTTGTGATTTTTCTTGATCTCGATTTATCTCGATACATTAAGTAGGCCTACGGTAGGCTAGACTACTCTTTGCGCTTTCGACGACACCCTCCCTGTCACTCACCACCCTCCCTCTGGTAGTGCTATCGGACCTCCTCTCTCTCTCTCTCTCTCTCTCTCTCTCTCTCTCTCTCTCTCTCTCTCTCTTCCCTCTCTCTCCCAAGGTAGGGTAACAAACGAAAAAGTCACCACTTTGTAAGATGTAATACTACTTGATTCTTTTTCTCCTTCTTTTTTTTCTTGCTCTCCCCCTCCTCCCCCTCCTCTAATTCCCCCTCCTCCTCATCATCCTGCTCCTCCTCCTCTTCTTCCTTCTTCTTCTTCTTCTTCTTCTTCTTCTTCTTCTTCTTCTTCTTCTTCTTCTCCATCTACACCTACATCTCCTCCTCCTCCCCCAAAAGGCGAAAGACCGAAACAGGGAATTCCCGTAAACTCCTTAATGTACAACCAGAGAGTATTTAATTATATCCTTTGGCGTAGTCGGCACTCCGCAGTGAATATACAATGTCGAAGCAAATGATGGCGATCGCTACAAAAGGACTGAATTTAACTTAAACTTGGTTTTCTTCTTACACATTTGATCTTAATGAAAATACAACAGTGCAACACTACGTTTCAAGTTGTGGGTACTGGCAAAGTTTCATATTTTTTCATTGGATAGTTTTTGAGAATATACTGTTCGCAAAATTTGGTCTTAGCTCCATTAATAGTAAGATAAACATAACATGTGCGGTCAAAAATTCAGGGTGCAACTTATAGTGAAATATTTCCTTTGGCCTACCTATGGAACATAGATTCTCCAACTTTTGCACAGTGACTTATATCAATTTGCCTTGACAAGCGAATATTTTTTCAAACTCCTGCACACTGTATTCTAGAAAATTCCTTAATAAATACTAATAAAAATTCCCAGTCGATGGTTGCTACAGATTTTTAAAAGTTTACAGCTCGGGCAATATCGCTTTTAAAAGGAAGTCTGTTTTTTTCTTCTCATCGCATTATTATAAAACTATTTTTTGTAAAACGTTTTGCCACTAATAAGTGTCATTGGAGAGCTGTGACGTAGGCCACATGCGTAGGCAAAATGTGTGCCAGAAGCGGGAAGTGCGTGAACAATCACATTTTCCGCATGATGGAGATTTTATATAAATTTATGAAGAAAGGTTTTTCAATCGAGCCTCAATTGTTGTTGAAAAATATTATTAAGTTAAGACAAATTGATACAAACTGCTGTGCAAAGTATGGGTGACTTTGGTTCACAAGTTAAAGAGATATATGGGGATAAGTTGCGCCAGGAATTTTTGACCGCACTATAAAGCTATTAATTTTAGTGTAATCAAGACTTTGTAATCATGCGGGTGACTGGTGGACGCCACTAAACTCCCTTCTTTCCTTCTCTCCGTTTTCTCCATGGGTTGTTTTATTTTCCACAAATTATGAACGTTATTGTGTCGATGAAGTTCTCTCTAACCAAACAAACAGACAATAATAAATAAATAACAGTAATAGTAATAATAATAAAAATAACAATAATAATAATGATGACGATAATAATAACAATAATAATAATGATGACGACAATATAATAATAATAATAATAATAATAATAATAATAATAATAATAATAATAATAAAAATAATGAAGATGATGATAATGATGATGATGATGTTGATCATAATAATAATAATAATAATAATAGTAATAATAATAATAAAACAATAACAATAATAACAATAAAAACAATAATAGGAATAGAAAGCATTTTATTGCGCAAATTCGTGCTCAACAGAAAGCTCTATGTATATCAATTACCCGTACTATCTTGAAGAAGCAAAGATAATTTTTAAAAAAATTAAAGTATAAAGCAAAACAGCAAATTGTGTTCCCCCAGCCACCCCCTCCCCCAAAGAAAAATACAATAACAATGAATAACAAAAAAGCAAAAACCAAAGAGAAAAGCGAAAACAAAACAAAACAAACAAAGCAATCAAATAGGCAAAGGACAAAGGGGGGGTCGAAACTGTTATTTTCTCAAAGTTTGAGTTAAACTAAAAACGGGGGAATAGTTTTAAAACCAATCCCCCACCACAAAATTACCCCTAAACAAAAAAATTCCAAATTTGAACGGCCCCCCCCCCCTCAACCCCCCACCCCCCCCCCCCCCTCACCAAAGAAAAAAAAACCTTTAAAAAAAACCAAAAACCAAAAACACATCAAACAAAACCCACGCCCCCCCCCCCCTCCTCCACCACCCACACGACGTACCCACACAAATGAAATGAAAAGGAAAGAAAAAAATATCAAGAAAGGTTCCAAACGTAACTTTTCTGTCTGTCTCCACAATAGACTTGATTTATGTGTAATATCCTAGACCGAGACCCGCCATGGCCGCCGCTCTCTAATCTTTATTCATAATGTAAAAAGTGTCTGCAGTATAGTGCGGTCAAAAATTCGTGGCACAACGTATCCCCAAATATCTCTTTGTCAGGTCACCCCTACTTTGCAAATCAGTTTGTATTAATTTGTCTTAATTTAATCATAATTTTCTGCAATACTTGGGGCTAGAATAAATAACTTTTCTTCATAATTTTATATAAAATATTATAAATCTCCTCCATGCGGAGAGTGAAATTATTCACAGCACTTCCCGCTTCTCATACACATTTATTGCGTACATATGTGGTCTACGTCACAGCTCACCAACGACACTTTTAGTGTCAAAACTTTGTAGTGATCACAAGTTTTGCACTAGAGGTTCTCAAAAACATGCCTTCAATAAGCACAATGTCGTGATTTTTTTTAAAAATGACAGACTTTCTTTTAAAAGTGATATTGCCCTTTTTAAACCTTTTTAAAATATGTAGAAAGCACCCACTTGGATTTTTTTGGGGTATTTATCAAGGAGTATTTTTTTAAATTAGAATACAGCTAACACGCGCTTACAAATATATTGGTCTGTTATTACTTTATTACTGTGAAGACAATTGATACACGTGTTTTTGCAAAAGCTGGATAGTCTATGTACAATAGTTTAGGAAATAGCCTCGAATTTTTTACCGCAATGTAGTGTGCACCAAGGGCATGGAAATGAAGGGCCAAAAACCAAAAAAACCAAAAAAACAGTTTTGCTATCAATCAATCAATAAATAGGTAAATAACATTTTATTGATGTATATAGCAGAATGGGCAAGCAACCCCCCACGCTTTTTTATTTATTGGCTCCAAAATAACAGAGCCCAATTTTGCACTCATCGATGAACCGGAATTACGTCAGAGTGTACGGTCTAGAATATTATTATCACAATGCAAGTCTATGGTCTCCGCCGCCAGGTCCCCATCCCCGCAGGCGTCCCTCCACACACAAGGCCGCAGAGACACTAGTGCTGTTCGGTGCGCTCACGATTTCACAACTTCTGAGTAGGCCGGAGGAGGGGCCGCAGTCGGATTTGCGCTGTGGAGAGATAATGTGTATTAAAAAGTTAAGTTAATGTATGAAAATTGTATAGCATTGTTAAGTTGATGTATAATAATTGTATAACAATGTTAAGTCAATGTTTAATAATGGTATAGTAATGTTAAGTTAATGTATAATAATTGTATAACAATGCTATGTTAATATATACAAATAATTGTATAATAATGCTGAGTTAATTTAAGCTGACATTGCGCGACCTCAGAAGTTCGAAGTTCTATCTGCTTAGTACTTGGTTTTGAGTAATATGACTTAAACAATTTTGAGTCTCACAATACTGTGTCAAGTTTTTTCCAAAGCAATTTGTTTGAATAATATCTTGATGACGACTCCGAGCAATCTTACGATTTTGATAGAGCAGGTTGGTTTCCCACCCCATGGTCTCGGTAACTTAACAAACGGCCAAAAAATGTCAACTAGAATTATGGAATCCTGAGATAGCGACTGAACTCACAGAGGCACCTGCTCTAACAGACACTGGTATAAGACAAGTACCATACAAACCGCTACTGTCCATTTCTCTTTGAGTCTTTTTTTTTCACAGTATAATAACTCTGTGTAATACAAACACCTGTCTAAGACGGCCACTCTTTTCTTAGACCGTGGGTGTCCGTCTCAGACAACTTCTACTATACAAGTAGTTTGCTGCTGAGAGGAAAAATGCCAAATCAAATGCTTAATTTTTATAGTAATAATGATATTTATCATAATAAAAACAATAATAATAATAATAATAATTATTATTATTATTATTATTATTATTATTATAATAATAATAACAATAATAATAAAATAATAATAACAATAGTAATAATAGTAATGATAGTAGTAATAATAATATTAATGGTACAAAAAGAACACTCCAAAAAATAGAATAAACCAATACAAATAAAAAACACATACAAAACAAAGAAAACAAAAGAACAGAAAAAATAGCAGGAAGGGTCCCAGACATCATTCCCCTCCGTCTGTCCTTGCAATAGACTTAAATTATATGTGTCGTAATATCCACGACGGAGACCTGAAGAAAGAAGGATAGGGAGAGAGAGAGAGAAAGAAAGAAAGATGTATAGAGATATGGATAGATAGACAGATAGATAGATAGATAGATAGATAGATAGATAGATAGATAGATAGATAGATAGATAGATAGATAGATAGATAGAGAGAGAGAGACAGAGAGGACAGAGAGATAGAGAGATAGAGAGATAGAGAGATAGAGAGAGAGAAAAAAAAGAGAGAGAGAGAGAGAGAGAGAGAGAGAGAGAGAGAGAGAGAGAGAGAGAGAGAGAGAGAGAGAAAGAGAGAGAGAGAGAGAGAAAGATAGAGAGAGAAAACTTTCGAACTTGGTTTTTCTGAGTGCAATGGTGTACAAACGGCGGTACGGGATTCATGTGCTTCTCTTTACTCAAAAAGAACAACTTATCAAAAGCAAAAAAATTAAAGGAAACCCCCCCCCCTCCCCCCCCCCCCTAGAATACATATACATTCTAGTAACAAAAAAGACATTTTCTCAAACGTGTTAACAGTGTCTGCGGTGTAGCGAGTAGGTACTTCATCGTCCTTCTCATGCAGGAGACCGGGTCTCGATTCCAGTGGGAATACAATTAAAGCTAACTCGAGTATCTTCGTATGGCTGCGGAGATATAGTATCTCTCTCAGCCAGGGCTGGTCCTGATAGGCAGGGCAGAAGCCCGCCTCATAAAGTAATTCAAAAATCTGAATTGGGCTGATGGAGGAAGTAGAAACACAAACAATAAAATTATACACTAACCTCTTATCGGCTAACCCATACGCAGTGTTGTAATTTCCCGCCAGATTGGAGTTGTAGTTTCCCTCCACAGTATTTGCGTTGGTTTGCGCAAGTGGATTCCTGGAAAGAAAACGGGGCGTCAAATTCAATTTGAATAATTATATAGTAAAGATAATATGGTAGAAGCAGGCGCTCATCAGTTGTTTTTTTTAGGCATATTGCGTTATTGGTATCATCCTAAAGTTTGTTCCTTTGTATTGCTTTTGATGGGGAAAATACGGCGCTTATCTGTCTTGAATAGATGTAAAGATAATAATGTGTGAATGGAAAACATTGAAGTTATTTGGTGTCGACTGAAAATAAGCGAGTAAAATAATGAAGTATTGGAAAGAGGTGGAATTGAAGATGTCAACACAAACATAAGAAGGTAAAAAAAAGAACAAGTCTACCCTGTCAGACATGGTATTGGAACTCAACTTGAAAAAGAAAACGAGGAAGACCAACTGGAAGCTATAGACGCACAATATGGGATGAGGCAATCATCCAGGGCCTGGATTTGCCGAAATTGGAAGGCGTGGCCAGGGACAGAAGTGAGTAAGTAAAAGACCGCCAAAATTTGGTGATTCCCAAAGCCTGAGAGTTGCAAGAGACTACAGAATTACATTTTAATTTGATTTTGGGGAAAATTTGTTGGTTTTTTTTATCCACATAGAAATATGTTTTTGAATGGACATAAATTTACCTCCTTTCTGGCACTACAGAACACCAAGGTAGCTCCGAGGAATGGGGTTGGGGACAGAGGGTGGGGGCAGGTGGGGAATTGTGGCGGGGTGCGCTGAGGGGATGGGGTGAGGGAGGAATTAGGGAGGGGGGTGGGTTTCAGAACTTACCCTTTTTTTTTGCTTTGAGCTCTGCAAATGGCACCAATGATAAAAAATATGACACTGACACCTGCTAGAGACGCGCTGATTGTTGCTGTCTTGTGTTCTGAATACCAATCTGTGTTGAAGGCTGTGAATAATAGGAGTAATGATAATAATAATAATAGCAATAAAAATAGCAATAATAATGATAATAATAATCATACTAATGATGATGATAACAACAACAACAACAACAACAACTACTACTACTACTACGACTACTACGACTACTACGACTACTACTACTACTACTACTACTACTACTACTACTACTACTACTACTACTAC